GAAAAGACATTATTCTCCTAGGTTGTACACATAAGAAAACTTAAACAGGGTGAACTACTTGCCTAAAGCCTCACACAAGCTGGATTCTAAAGACTTTTCTTTATCCTCCATGTTATCTCTAGTTCTCTTTGTTTAGGTTTATGATTTATCTGGAAGCCACTTGGGAGTTATCAAATCAATAACAGGTGACAATGATCATCAATTCTAAACTTCAAATAAAACTATTTCCTCTCCGCTACAGCCCCAGAACACCCTTTTCCTATAGGCTGACTAACCTTCATGTCCTCTTTGTTAGTTGACTTTCCCTGTTGATGGTAAGAAATACCATTAAAGTATTCAGTTCTTCCAAGTAAAATTTCCAAGACATACAGATCACACCAAGGCACTTAGCCTAAAACCAAACCTGCTTCTTTCTTTTTTTCCTATCTCCATAACTCCCCGAAGTATGCTCTTGCACTCTCACTAGCTCTCTCTCTCTCTCCTCTCTCTCTCCTCTCTCTCTCTCTCTCTCTCTCTCACTCTCTCTCTCTCTCCATTCTTATAAAATGCAGTGAACTTTGGGTAAAATGTGACAATTAGAATGAAAATAATGACATTTAATAATCACAACACTAGCAAAGATTATTATAGGCTGATTATAATGGTAAAGGACACCTTCAAATCATTAACTACTCATGTATTATATTTTTTTATCCTGTGATTTACTAACTCATCCAATCCTCATGGTCACCTTTGGAGAAAACACTACTATGAGCTCCAAATAGAAGATGTGAAAATTGAATTTCAGAAAAATTTGGCAGTTAATTTAGCCCCAGAGATAGGATTAGAATCCAAGAATTCTGAATATTGGTCTCTTATTCTAAACAAGTGCATGTATAACCTTCAGAAGCTAGATAATAACATATGCCATAGAAGAGCATGGCTTACTTAAGAGAAGCACTTAGTAATCTGTTGTCAAGCAAGTTATTTTCCTTAACTAAGCAGGATAAAAATGTTCATTTTTGGCATTAGCTTGTACAGGATACAATGACAATTGTAAGACTATGTATTGCAACATCAAAGTAAATTAAGAATAATTTTTTCATTAGTTCAATTGGTGACTGAAACTCTTTAAATTAGTACTACTGGAAATTAGAAAGGTAAATAGTATTTAATCTGCATTTACTATGAAAAATATTTAAACATTTATTATATCATTATATCTGCAGTTTCTCGAAAAGTTCATACTACTTGCCCTGGTTTTATATACAAAGATACTGAAGTACTAAGAAGGATTTGCCATGGTTACAAATGAATAAATGCACTTGGGTATTATTTAACAAGAAAGAGATCTTTAACTCATGGTTCAGCCCTGACAGTTCCTTCTCAAAATATTTAACTCTAATGAAAGCTCTCTCTTGTTACATATATACTAAGTTTCCATGAAAAGTTAAGCATGAATCACACTCAAATTCCTGTCTCTCCACCCATTTGTGTTATCATTTTTAAAATGCCTTGTTATCAATAATTTCTTCTCCCCCAAATTCTGCTTTTGTTCATCTGCCATTCAGTTTTTGAAACCACTAATGATTCATTAAAATAGTGGCATAAATGCTATGGTTTCCACCATTTTTGGTCACCTCTGCTAAATTTAGAAGCCATTTGACTTAATATTTGCAATTCAGTTGATATGCAAATATGGATTTGCATACATTATTCTTTTTTATTGTTGTTCTTTTTAGTTATACATGACATGGTTTGCATGCATTTTGCTTTTTAAATAGTGAGATCATTCTTGCATCATTTAACAGCACCTTGGGAAGTGGAATTAGAATATATATATAAAAAAAAAAAAAAAGGAAGATAAAATTTCTCATACCTTAGAATACCAGAAGGTTCCATTATTTTCTTTAAGGAACACTTACTGGAAAATTTAACTTTCTTTGATCTTCTATGTTTACCCTAAAGGATTTTTAACCTTTGGGTAAAATTGGCAAAGAGTTCCATAACTCCTTTTTAATGAGTTGAAAGGCACTCACTGGTTCATTAAAGGAAGTTTGTTTTTTATTCCTCAGAAGATATGTACATTTCTTTGAATTATCCAATGGCTAGAAAGCTGATTGTATGCATCTTAAATTTGCCCTGCATTTAAAGCAAAAACACCTTAAGCTACATGAAGACATTTACTGATATTTTCCTACAAGAGTGTTTTCATTTACTCTGAAAACTTGGTAGTGAAAAACAATAGAAATTTATTCCATTTCTAGAAGCCAAAAGTACAAGATCTGTTTCACTGACCTAAAGTCAAGGTGTCAACAGTGATGATTCCCTCTGGAGTCTCTAGGGGAAATCCATCTTGGTCTCCCCAGGCAACTCAAGGTCATTAGGACTCTAGGACTCCTTATCTTATGGTTGTTCCACTCCACCTCTGCTTCTGTTGCCTTTCTCTCTCTCTCTCTCTCTCTCTCTCTCTCTCTCTCTCTCCTGCCTCTCGCTTAAAAGGACCCCTATGATCACACCAGTCACATCTGGACAAACAATCTTGGAATCCTTAATTTTGTCACATCTGCAAAGTCTCTTTTAATATATCATTTGACAGATTCTCAGTGGAAGAAAGTGGGCATTTTGGTTTGGCTCACAGGTGGCATTAATCAGCCTTCCATGTATGGCAAATGCTAAAAACTACATAATTCATGGAAAGAATGATATTTGTAGTAAATAAATGAAAATAGAATAATGCATATGATTGTCCAAATCTTCCAGAGGACAATGCCACATGAATGACACTAATCCTTACTTTTGGCTAAAGCCTGCCCTCATTATGACCCTGCTATTTGCTCTGCTACTTATGCTGTCTGCTCTGTCTCTTCCAAAGATGGAAAGTAAAGTCGAAGATAACTTTATAAATGCATCGAGTACCGAAAATGGTGGACCCAAATGGAGGTGGGAGGTGGTTACATGGAAGTGTGATATTCTGAGAATGAAGAAAACATAAAAGTAAATGAGAGAATTTGAGTGGACTTTGACTTTGCAAATCTCAGTGTATCATTGCTAAGAATGTTAGCAGGTAAAAATAAACTTTCACATGTTGCAAAATATCATGCTTTGAATGTTGGCTATGGCATATGTTATACAACTTTATTTTGCTATAGTTACACTGTGTAATATTAATTTAAAATAATTTTCAGATGAAAGTGCAGTATGTTCGGTTTGCATTTAGAAGACTTACTCATCCTGTTCTCCTCCTTGAACCTGCTACAATGAAGCCAAAAAATAAAGGACTAGAAATAACTGGGTTATGATAGGTATGATAGATGTAGAACTAAAGTTCTATCAACATCTGGACTTTTCTATATATCAATGGCGTTCAGTAACTCACTAGAAAGTTGGTTATCAAGTGCCTTATGCATCTTCTTTGCTATTCTGCCTACCCCAGGAATGAAATTTGCTGCACAAAATTGAGGGATCTCTATAGCCAGTTTAATAAAAATATGGCTTTCTTATCTCTACCCTTTTTACCAGAAAGAATTCTAGAATCTAACAAAATATACTTAATAGAGAAGTTTTTTTATTGCCACTTTTTAGAATAAATACTTTGAGAAATACAAAAAAAATCTTAGATAAAAAAGGTTCAAAGAATACCTTTAGGATCAAATTGGTGTACATTTTAAAAATCTAGCTGCAAAGCAGAGAATAAACAAGGGATATCTAATTGTCTCCTATGAGAACAATGTCTTTTAAAAACCATCCCATAGCTTATCCTACCCAAAGAAACCAGCACTGTCCTCTGTGTGAACTCATCACTGTTAATAAATGTATCATTGTTTCCAATTAAGTGGAGGCTGAGCTATGGATTATAGTTTATGTTTCAAGAACAAAATGTCAATTCTTCAGTTTAAATTAAAATCATATATATATATATATTTTACTTTAGCCTCCACCCTACAGAATGAAAAGTGCTTTTTAAAATGTGCAGAGCCTATAGGAACAGTATAGATTACTCAAAGAAAAATTTTAAAACTGGTTATTCCCTTTTGTTAGTAACAACTAAAAATAAGTGCAACCCAAGGAAAATGTAATATCAATGTGCAAAAGAAAGCAAATCAAGAGAAAGTAAAACTTACTTGGGGAAGAATGTTCTATATCTGACAGCATTTGGGCTTTAGAGCAGAGACAAGAGAGGGCAGATATATAATCGTAGTCAATTAAGAAGGTACAATACTGAGAAACTGGATTTCTTTGATACTCACAGTGTAGAAATTCTTTAAGAAAGGAATTTCATAGATGGCTTGGTTGCTTAGCAACCACTGACCCAAGGGGACAAGTTCATTTTTAGCCTGGTATAAGTCACTGGGTCTCTCTGGGATTGCTGTGAATCTTACACATGGAATTCTCCAAACACATCAGATGAGAAGTTGTCACCAGTTTGCATCCTGATACATGTGAGAGTGCAGCAGGGGAAATTGATCATTTTTCTTCATACATCATTGTCTTAGCCTTCCTTGGGAGGAACAGTGTTTAGACAGGCAAACCATCCAGTTCATTTCAGAGTGTAGGGATCAAAACCCTGCCGTATTTTTACACTAATAAAAAGACTGAAAAAATACAGGCCTCTTGCTTTATTGAATCCTTGTTAACCTTTTAATAATCATGTTGCTGAAGTCCATGGATACGTGAACTCTTGTTAACCACTGATTGACAGGTGAGGGTTTGCATTAACATTGAGACCACTATCGACTGAAGCTATGGCCTACAGATGATGAGTGATGTGTGATAGTTAAAGTGGTGATGATGAATACCTTCCAGGATCAAAATAACTTATTTTTGTATAAGCATGAAGACGTTAACAGCTGTGGATAAACAACACACTAATGAGATGTTGCTGGATTATTATTGTCCCAGACAGAGAGAAGGAAGAGACTGAAAAGGCTCTCAGCAATCTCCTGGGAAGATATAAAGAGTCCTCCAGTCACAGCCACAACACATTTGCATGAACACCACTGAGCACACACTCGGACTCCATGTCTCTTCTGGGCTACCCTGGGCTTTGCAGTGCCACATCCCACAGGACTCATTGTTACATCCCAGTGACTTCTGTTGCTCTTTGCTCCAGTGATGTAAACTCTACCTTTGGACACTATTTACCCAGTAGCTACCAAGGCAATCTCTGGCTCCTGGACCACTGCCAAGAATCCTACTGTGAAGTGCCAAGCTGTGAATCTCCGAGCTGTGAGCCCAAGACCTGTACCACAGATTGTGACTCCACAAACTCCTGTGTGCCCTGCAACTCCCCATCCACAGGCCAAGTCATCAGTGCCTGTGAAACTACCAACATCAAATCTGGCCCCAGCTGCAGCCCATGTACTTGGACCAAGGGGTACGTATCCAATTGCTACAGGCCTGCTCGATATCCTTCCAGAGCTTGCCACACACTCCTCAATGGCTCCAACTGCTTTGGGCAACTCAACTATTTACCTAAGAATTTTCGTCCTTTAAACAGCTACTGCCCGCTGGGTAGTTTGAAGTATAGAAGCTACCAAGATCCTGGTTTCATCTCCAGGGGCTTCTCACCATCATGTTATATTGCCAGCAGCTACCAACCCCTAAGTTATTTAATGAGAAATTGCCAGTATCCAAATTATGGGTCTATGAGTTACCGACCACTGAGCTATTTATCTAGAAACTTCCGATCTCTGAGCTGTGTACCCAGTACCTTTCCACCTCTGAGGTATTTATGCAGTGGCAGCAGACCTTTGAATTGCTATTGACCAACTTAAAGCATTTAAATGAGCTAGAATTTGCCCAATAGGGCAGATTCTACTAAGTTGTAGGATCTCTGAAATGTAGAATCCTTAGTATTCTGCTGAATCACTTTATATATCTCAAGAAGTTTGTCACTTTAACTTTAAATGGAATAGAACCACAGCCATTACTATAGGTAGATTTTTTTTCTGTTGCTTTGTTAATCCTCTTTGTGTTAAAAGCTTATTCTCTAGATATAGTTATCTAAGACATACCATATGGACTTACTGAAGAGAGTTCACATGAAATATAACCATCAATCACCATCTTTCTTACTTTGGTTCCAACTACCACATACCTGCCAGTGCGACTATCACCAAACTTTTCTTCATTAAGTGGGGCTTCCTTGGTTTGATGGTTGATTTCAGAGCACAAGTTCTTTCAGATGGTTTTGCTTTTCCTCAACAGTTTCATCTACTGCTTAACAAGCATCTTGCTTGTGTACTGAGAGAGAGCATTATCTTAAATGTATTGAGTGGGACCATAACTTCCTTTCCCTACTAACTGCTTATAAAGATGAGCAAATAACAGTGGTCAACTTGAGCTCAAATACAGAAGAATTCAAGAAATCTTCTCCAAAGAAGCCATCAAACACAGGATTGGCTGGAACTTGGATTTTTTCCTCAATGCCTGGGAGAAAGCCTCAGAAGTGATTGAAGCACAAAAGTTATTTGATAAAACAATGACAAAACACTGTTGTAGACTCTTTAAAGTTAGTGTTGTTCTATGTTCAGGATTCTCTTCTAATCCTGCCCTGTTGAATGACTGCATTCTGATTCTGGAAAAGGTCTGGGCTCTTGATTCATAAATAAATTTCTAACTAGAAACCATGACTTTTCTTGTGCTTTATTTCACATTCACTAATGTTTTATTCATGTTCTGGAAAGAAATGTTTGATATTGTCAAATATTATTTTCTTGTCATTATTTGTCTAAATTAAAAATATAAAGAAGGTTAAATATGAGGTTCCAAACTTTTGATTTGTTTGATTTTGTCTCTAACACATAAAATGAGTGTATTTCTTATAGAATGTCTGTAATTGATTTTGACATAAAGAAATTGGGGAAATATTTACGAAATAAAACAGTTTAATATTAAGTAATTAAATGTATGTACATTTCTCCCACAAAATATGTGGGTTAATTAATTATGGATACAATTTGGAAAATTAAATAGATTTAATATTGAATCCTGTGAGAATTGTTTAACTCCTACAAAGTTCTTTCCTTAAAAAATGGAAATACAGTCATCTTTCTAGGTGGTAAGAACAGGACAATAGATATATTCTAAGTATTTTGTACATAAAAACAAAATCATGTTTAAAAGCAAATAAAATATTATTTGGAGATGACTATAAGTAGAGATTGGAATAGAAGAGAAGGATCACCATTATCAATAGTTAAGTATCTAAAATTAAAACTTCAAAAGCAGACACATGGGGCTGTCATTCTATAAATGCAAATACAAAATATAAACACATACTGGTGGTCCCTGTTTGCTTACTTTGTACAGGAAAGGCTTTAGAAGAAATATTAATGCACTGCTTCTGTTTGAATATGTCTGGGGACAATCCAGACACTCCTTTGTGAGTTCACTCATTTTTCAGAGAATTCTGTTTGCTGAAAATTTCTTCTTTATGTTAAGAAAAAATATAATTGTCCTTAGAAACCATCCATGGACCCTAAAAGACCAGTTCAATTCCTTTACCACAGGACAGGTGCTCAAGTATTTGAAAACAATCACTGTGTATCCCCACTGAGCATTCAGTTGTCCAAACTGAACACACATTCTTCCTCTTTATGGACTCTAATGGGAAGCCCATTCTCTGAGACATTGACTGGGACTCTTTGGGGATGTCAAGATTTATAGATCTTATTTCCAAGAACTATTCAGAGAAGTAATATACTGAAACAAGCACAATACTGTCTCAACCATGCTAAGAATAATATAAAAAACTTAAGGGAGAATACTTCGTGATGGAGGTCTTGCCTTGGTGGTGAAGGGACAGGGGTGTGTGTTCTGTATGATGGGAAAAAAGGAGGCTGGGTGATGGGTGAATTTGACCAGAGGAAAGGAAACAAAATAATCACAAGAAGAAAAAAAATGGCAGAAAATATAAGACATTTGATCAAGGACTTTGAAAAGGAAGATTTTCTTAAATAAAACAAATAAATCAAAAAAATTAGCAGTAGCTATAAAATCAAATATTTGTGAATATGGCCATATCAAAATTGTATGATAATGAAAGATATAATGAAGAAATAAAACAATTGGAAGGATTCTGAAGCTTGTAAACTCTCTGAATTTTCCACTCAATTTTTTCTGTAGATATTAACCCTAAAAAACTATCAATAAAAAAGTAAAATAGACAACAGCACAAAATGAAGAACTCAAAAAAATATGTTCATCATGCAACATAAAATTATTTTCCAAAATCTTCTACAAATAAAAAAATAACTTATGACAGTAGAAAATAAATAATATGAGAATTACTAATAAAGTTGTAAATAAAAATATCGAAAAATTTATTACCTTATTAGTAATTATAAATAGAAGATATTATCTTTAACCATTCATTTGCTAAATATTTTTAAGTTGGTTGTATTTCAATTTAAAGCATTCTCACTACTGCAGATGGGAATATAGTTCCACAAAGCAACTGCATATGTGAATATTTAAATTGCACCTACTCTATGACCAGGTAATTCTGCTTCTCAAAGTCTCCCTAACAGAAACATTCCTTCAAGTTACACAATACAGTTGTTCTGCTTCATCCATGGTTTCTTTTTCCTCAGTTTTCATTACCTGCAGTCATTAGTGATCAAAAAAAAAATCTTAAATAGAAAATTCCAGAAGTAAATAATTTGTAACTTTTTAAGTTGTGCATCATTCTGATTAGCATGATGGGCCTCACTCTGATGTGAATCCACTCATTGTCCATTGTATCCATACAGTATTGCCATCTGCCTGTTAATCACTTAGTACCCAACCTGATCAGCCCATTGGCTATCAAAGCACCATGCGACCTGTGCTTAGGTTTACCTATTATTTTACTTACTAATGGCTCCAAAGCATAAGAACAATGATGCTGACAGTTGTATTAAATATGTATTATATATGTATGTTTATAATTGTTCTATTTTATTATTAACTGTTAATCACTTTCTGAGTCTAATTTATAGATTAGTTTTTAGCATTGTATGTATATATCAGAAAAATCATGGTAATATAAGAATGAGCACTGCCTGCAATTTAGGGACTCCTCTGGGAGTCTTAGAATCTATACTTAGTGGGTAAGGGGAAACTACTATATTTATTTCAGACCTCCCTGAACTCCAAAAAGGTAAAACCATAGAAAAGTCTAATACATCTGTTCTAAAAAGAATAAGAAAAGTCTACAAGTGGAAGAACATGAAATAATCTGTAATCAAGTCATATTAAGAAGTGATTTACAACAAATAAAAGAGTGGCTAGACCAATATAAATTAAAATGATAAAAGAATATAATAAAACAAGATTTGTATAAACACATAATATGACATTTTATGTATAAACACACAAATAAATAAGCATTTCTCTGTGTAATGTATATTTGCTGTACTATATTATATTATAAAATATAAAATAAACAATCTAAAAAGATACAACCTAAATAAAAACATGTTAGCTTCAGGTGAGTTTAGAAATGGGGGTTGAAGATTTTTGAAGTGATTTTTAGACTCAACAGTTATGGTTTGGTTACCTATATAATTAAAAAAAAATTGTAAGCAACAGAAAACAGTCCTGAGAAATAAAGTTGGTCCTGACCTCTGATTTGATAAATTACATAATCAGTGACTTCATCCATTCCACTATTAATAAAAATATTGAACAGCAAAATGAAATGGGCCTCAGTCCCCTGAACTACTACCTTCTAGGATGAGAATCCATCAACAACTATCCTGTCCAACTTCAGTTAGGCAAAAAAAAATCCTTAATAAAAAAAATGATATGCCCTTGACTCTAATGCAAACTAATTTATTAAGCTCAGCTAATTTGTACTTAAAATTACACAAACAAAACTTCACTTCCCTTGAATTTTTTTGAGAGAGAGAGAGAAAATTTTTTAATATTTATTTATTTTTTTTAGTTTTTGGTGGACACAACATCTTTATTTTTATGTGGTGCTGAGGATAGAACCCAGCGCCCTGTGCATGCCAGGCAAGCACACTACCGCTTGAGCCATATCCCCAGCCCACTTCCCTTGAATTTTACTGTACAAATAACCAATGACTTCTGCCTCCCAAATAAAACAATTGTCCATTTGTCATTATACATGAAAAAAAAATATGAAAAAATGAGGGAAAAATCTCTTTACAGATTGTAAATATTACTTTCCACAACTGTAAACATTTTACATATCCAAACATAAGGAATGTGTCCAATTCCTTGTTATTGCTTTTCCCTCTACCTTCAGTATACTGCAGAGCAAGGAGTATAGTGAATGAAATATACATATACACCTACTGTCCTAAATGCCATCAACCACACACTGTACCATGTGATTCATGTAATGTACAATCCATTTGACAAATTATTAAATTCTCTCTTATTTTAATGCTTGGTATTTTGGGTTTAGATGATCCACAATTTACACTTTATAACAAAGTTCATAGAATCGGTAAAGATAATGCATTTGGCACACCACCAAATGCACATGTCAATGGATTTCTAAATTTTTTGTTATCTTGAGTGTAATGGTGTATTTTTGGTTGAGTTTTCCACAAAATGAATCGAATTCTCATCATACAGTGAGTGTACCTGAGATCTACTGAAGGACACTGGATGTCACCTACCAGAAGTCCCTCAAAGACCTGCAGTCTCAACAGGCAAGCAATTAATGGAGTTGACGCTCTCAACATGGTGAGGGGATTCAAAATTATTCAAAAACTGTGTTTACTCATAACTACAGAACTGAATGTCTTAT